GGGGGGAGGAAGAGGAGGAGGAAGGATAATCTAGGTATATAGTTTCTAAGATTCCTGTGAAGATCTAATCAATAGATATTTTTTATTAGAATATCATTGTGGTGGAAATAATGGCTGGAGCGATGTCTTCTGGTTTACAGTACGACCAGATGGTACAAAATGGAGCCCAAAAATTGCACTGTTTGGTGACCTTGGTAGTGTCAATGCTCAGTCCATTCCATTTTTACAGGAGCAAACCCTTCATGGTGACTTTGATGCCATTCTGCACATAGGTACTGTACCTTATCAAACAATACAGTACTTTAAAGGAATAATGATTATCTGTGAAATATATTTTAAGGGGTGAAAATATAAGTTCCAGCATACATGTATTGTTTGTCCTCATCACATACCAACATACTGTAATTGCAGACCTATTGCATGCAACAGTGCTTACCATTTACCAGGAAAAAAACGGAAATTCCAATTGAAAAACAAATGGTGCCATTCAAATTGGAAAGTTCTGGAAACTTTCCCACACTTCAGTTCTTTCAGTACACGCGTGTACCATTTTTCGAAAGTCAGTTGCCCACTCTTTTTTTACTATTAGCGACTAAATTCCAGACCGGATGGATTGGTTAAATGGTGAGCACCCCAGTTGAGCTGTTTTAATCTGATTACACCACATGCATGTCTCGTAAGCATAGTAGAAGTACTTTTATTTTCAGATTTTCAGTATAGTTTTTATCTTCATTCTTTTAGGTGATTTTGCATACAATATGGCTTCAGTAAGTATACAGTATCTCTTTATGAATACAAATTTACTATTTACACAAACACTGTTTTAATTGACACATTTAATAGAAAGATAATACTTTGAAAATATTTACAAACCATTAATATCAAAGGCTTCATTGCCAGTAGAGAGCAATAAACACCTACTAGTGATGTTGATTTTGTAAATGTGTTGAGCTGAGTCTGTTGGTTCTCTTTCTGACTCCAACTGTTTTTCTTGTCCTCCAGTTTTTCCTCCCTCATCTCAAAATCAACCCTTACCAATTCAAACTGGTTAGAGCTGTGCTCTGAGGTCATGCATGGTCTGTAGCTTTCAGAGCTGCTTTACATGCTTTCAGTCCATCCCCATTGAGCTGCACCACTGCTGTATTTGTGGTGGTGATTAGCGATAATAATTTTATTTAACATTTGACATCCTACCTACTGGCTGTTTGGTTTACAGAATGATGCTAAAGTAGGAGATGAGTTCATGAGGCAGATTGAACCTGTCGCAGCTTATATACCGTATATGACATGCCCTGGTAATCATGAAAGTTCTTAGTAAGTACCTGGAATCTTCTGAAAAATGTACCATATTATGTTTGAAAATTGTTTTGATCCAAATATCTGCAAGGGTGATAAATGGTGTTGATACTACTATATACTACTGTATATGATACTATATCATGAACATTATAGGGGTGGCGTAGCCAGGATTTTCTGAAGGGGTGGGACCAAATTCAAAACTCTGCAATTGACCCCCTAAAACACTGAACCAAAAAATAAAAAAATAGATTTGAAAATTATAGTATGAATTCTAAAAAGCAGCCATTTTCTGCTGTGAAGGGATGGAGGGGGGCCTTGCCCCCTTGGCCCCCCTGCCTATGCCACTGCATTATGATGATATTGATGATGGTATGTGGTAATGGTGGATGTGATGGTGATAGTGGTGATAATGACAATATTTATGATGGTGGAAATTGAAGTGCAGTTGATTTGGGGGTTGGTCATGATGGTGTTGGAGAAGACAATGATAATGGTAGTGGTGGTGGTGTTGGGGATGATGCTGATGATGGTGTAAGATGATTGTGATTATGATAGTTGAAGTTTTGGCATTGGCCGAGGCAATGATGATAATATGATAGCTCAAAATTTTACTTTGTTCTGTTTTGTAATAGTAACTTCACAAACTATAGAAATCGCTTCACAATGCCTGGAAACTCCCAAAACATGTATTATAGGTAAATATTAATTACAATCTTAAAAATCCTGTTATAAAACACACTTAGTATCTAAGATATGTGTTCTTCAACATCTACATTTCAGTTTCAACATTGGTCCTGTCCACCTCATTGCATTTTCCACTGAGTTTTACTTCTATTGGGCAGAGGAAGGCATTGATAGGATTGCTGAACAGTTTGCATGGCTGGAAAAGGATTTGAGGGTTAGTTCTAATGATTGTTCAATGCATTTTTTGATTTGGGCCTTTGCAGGAAAATGCGAGTTAAGGGATCCATCAAGATTGGTTTACACTGTCAATACATCTCCTCTCACTGCCGTGGGTCAGGGGTCCAAATTTGAACCTGCCGTTATTGCTAAGTGATAGTTGGTTCTCTATCGTGTGACAAGAGTTTGCTCCTGGTTCTCCAATTTTTCTCCTTCTGACAAAATCAGGAGCTTCAAATTCCAACTTAATCATGGGACAAAACCACAAGTATGATATAGGGACATGCCAAGTGCCAAAAAAGGAAGGAAGAAATGAAAAAAAAATCTGTTAAAAGCTTTATTTGATGTTCTACATTTAGGAGGCAAGTTCACCTGAAAACCGTACAATACGTCCATGGATTATGRCAATGGGACACAGACCCATGTACTGTTCTAATATTGATCATGATGACTGCACCAAGCATGAGAGTGTGGTATGTGCTTGTTTATATCTTGTATGCTCTGAATTAATCATTAATCCATCTTCCCTTTCTCTATCCACTGAACCAACCATCTATTCAGTACTTGATCCCTCCATCCTTTCTCCCATTCATTCATCCATTTCATCCTTTCTCCCATTCATTCATCCATCTATTCCAGCCATTTTTACATCCACTCATCCATATTTATCTATTATCTATCATCTATCCTCTGATTCTGATCCGTCCTTTCCTCCCTCGCTACCTATTCATCCATCTTTTCAACTATTAATCCCTACCTTCCATCCAATATCCACTTTTCATTTGTTTTTTTTAGAGTCGTACATCACCTGCTCTTTTCATTCAGATTCAACATTATCTTTACTTACTTTATAGATTCGCACAGGATTCTCTGATGATCACAAGTTCGCTCTTGAGAAACTGTTCTACAAGTACGGTGAGTGTTAGTAAGCATTCTACAGTGTATATAGGTTTTAAAATGATTTAAAGTACACTTAAGTTAAATAATACTATATTTAGTTTAATACAGAATGATTTATTTTGAAGGTGTTGATGTTGAACTTTGGGCTCACGAGCATTCATACGAGCGTTTGTTTCCAGTCTACAATCGTCAGGTAGGATATAAAGCACTTAACAGTCTGTATAACTGTCAGTTATCCTATATCTTGGAGAATCTAACTGTTTTTGTTGTTATGCAGATGTGTAATGGATCAAAAGCTGAACCATACACCAACCCCTGTGCCCCAGTTCACATCATCACTGGATCAGCTGTAAGTACAGTTTCTTTTGGCCTGTGGCCAAGAACGAGGGCTCTGGCATAATCCATTTTTTAAGACAAACGAGTTGGGAATAACTAGTAGAGTACTAGCGTGGGCGCCGGCACATGCAGTTCAAAGACTTGCCAAAAAATTTTAAAATGTGTTCTCGATTTCTAATTTTTATTTTTATGGAAAATAAACACAAGAGTCTGGACTCTTTTCTAAAGCAGTTTTAACAGCTTATGTGGTTTAACAATTTATAGAGTTAACAGTAGTCCACTGCTGATTAAGCTTACAACTTCTTATTGAAATTTAGTATTTTGAACTCGTAAAAAATCTGCACCTCTTTAAAGTCTTGTGTTATTTATTTTTAGGGATGTTCAGAAATCCACGATCCATTTAAGTATGATTATGGCCCATGGACAGCTTTCCGCTCTCTAGACTATGGTTACACACGCATGCATGTTTACAACAACACACACATCTACTTTGATCAGTTCAGTGTTGAAAAGGTAATAACACTCAATATGTGTGTGTGTGTAAGTGTATATATATATTTAGCATATACCAACTTGTGTACTTCCTAAGAACGAGCGCGCTCATTGGTTAATTGGAGGTGAATATTGTACGATAGTCACCTCTGAATCTTGGAATATTGAGTTGGCAACAAAATGGCATCTGCYGGCAATYGTTTTGCTACAATTTCCGATRAGGAAATTGAAAAAATGAAAGTAAATGCCATTCCTATCAATACTAAAAAGGCAGCGAAGTATGGCCTAAAGGTTTTGCTAAAAGTTTTCCTTGAATTTGTCACGCAAACTAAAAGTTTCTGTTTGTTTGTTTTTATTGAATTATTGTATATAAAAATAARTTACTCTGTACACAAGTTGGTATATGCTAAGACAATTATTCGCCTCAGGCTCAGTGAACATCGGGGAATGTCTACCTCGCCACTCGAAGACTAGCGTCTCTGTAAATATTCTCCAATTTTCACTTCGCCTTCAGCAAATAATTGCTAAATATACATATATTAGCTTAGCATGTCCTGAGAATTAAAGAAACTATAAGTAATAGAAGGATGATACCAATTTCTAGAAGGCAATTGAAAATGCTTTGACATTTGCAATTTTCAAGTGGAATCATGAAAAGTGAATCATGAATCAAGGAAAGTCGTTAGAAATCTTACTAGTAAAACGGTTCAAAGGATATGTAATATGTGTCTGTCCTCTTATTGCTCAAAGCTGTCAGCCAATCAGATTGAGCTATTATTCTGCTATTGTAAAAATTACCATTGATGTTTTGTTAACTTTTTTCTAATTACAGAAAGAAGCTATTGACAGCATTTGGCTTATCAAGGAAAAACATGGAGCTTATTAACACAGGATTTCTGACCATCAAAATTGAATTAATTTCCACATTCATGCTAATCAGTTATTTGATTAAATATTGCAATTAATTTAAAACGCTCAAGGAAAGGGCAGGCTTCTAATGACACTGTCCTGTTTCCTCCGTTGTCTCAACAATAATTTATTACTGGGAAATAATTGATGCTTAGGATAAGAGCTAGCTAGAATGATGGTTTTTAGGGAGTAGACTCTGCTGGAATGATGGTTTTTGGGGAGGAGTAGAGATGGCTAGAATGATGCTCTTTAGGGAGGAATAGAGATGGCTAGAATGATGCTCTTTAGGGAGGAATAGAGATGGCTAGAATGATGCTCTTTAGGGAGGAGAAGAGATGGCTAGAATGATGCTATTTGGGGAGGAGAAGAGATGGCTAGAATGATGCTATTTGGGGAGGAAAAGAGATGGCTAGAATGATGCTTTTTTGGGAGGAGAAGAAATGGCTAGAATGATGCTTTTTAGGGAGGAAAAGAGATGGCTGGAATGATGCTTTTTTGGGGTGGGGAATGTTTATTTTTTATACGTAGAGGAGTGGACTTTAATTGGCGTATTAAACAATGCAGCTTTAGCTTTTATTTTATTTTTTTTACAATCATTAGTGTACCAAGTGAAATTATGTTATTTTAAATTTAATGCACAAAAATAATTATTGTTAGTTATGTATTAGTGGATAACCCATTGATAAACTCTGGAACACAGAGCACATGATTGCCAACACACTGTCTTTTGCGTGCATGATTCCTGTCACACAGTTGACAGAATTCAACTGTTTACTCATTGAATGTACAGTGAATGATATGCATTAGATGAATGCATAGTTAGTTGCTGTTTTAATTAATGAAATGAATTTTGTATTTTGCCTGCAAATGATCATCAAATCAATAAAGTAATATATAACAACTAAAACAAATGACAGAAAGTTGAACTAGCAGTAAAGAGAAAAAACACTGAATTGCAATTCTATGAGAATTCAACAAATTTTCCCTTTTTTTCTCGCTTTCAAATCACTTAAATAATCTGCTTTTTCTAGTAGAAAATACTAAATTTCTATCAACATAAAATGCTTCTATATTTCTAATACTTTCTAATATTTCTACATTGAATTGTCTGTTAAAATGATCTGTTAAAGAATATATTAATAATGTTGATTATTTTTTTAATCATTAGACCTCCTCACAATAAAAATAATACCAGAGACATCATCTTTTTTAGCATCTTTAAAAACGTTGCCGGAAAAACTGTGAATGCCTCCATGGGCTTCGTTCATGTGCCAGCCAATAGATTTTCCCACGCGTTAGCCTCCCATTCAATTGTTTGAGAATAAATTTACATGGGTTAAACAAAGGTTTGTATTCTCATTAAAGTGAACATGGCTGCCGCGTGAGTAAGGCCCTTAACAGTAGGGTTAAATTGTATTTTTCTAGTAGAAACTTGTGTGAGAATATCTACCCAAGGTTTCTTAGGGTATTTCCTAACAAGATGATGCCTTTGGTACAGACAAATCTTTGAAGTGTGTAACCCATATATTAATACCACTATTGTTTCTACTTTTTATAGTCCTTGACTTTTGTAAGTTCTAAAGCTGCCTTTGATTACTGTCTTTATAATAACTTATTTTGTCCATGTTGAATTCTACCCTGCTTGCTGAGATCTTATGCCTACCATTTCAGCTGCTCAGCCCATTGGAGAATTAAAAATAAACCTGCTGCTAGCAGAATAAAATTATCCTGTGTTTGATATTATAATTTTATTTTTTGTGCGTATGAAAGAGGTGTTAAAAATCCAGTTTTCTTTTTACTTTTATTTTCACTAAGATACCCTCTGCATAAAAAAACTCAATTCCCTAGTAATCTAGTTGACGTATCCTAATAATAACCCACAAGAACCAAGGACTGCCAGCAGATAGACTCCTATTTTGTTAAAATCTTTGTTAATTTAGAAATAATTCCAAAATTTATAGTTCGAAAAGTTCCACTGTAAACAACCTCAGTATTTTGATGAGGTTGTGAATAGTGGAGTTCCGTAGACAGGTCTCGTCGTCGTTAAGCTGATGCCAACAATGAGGGAATGGTACTGGAATAAGATGGAGTATAGGAACCCCTAGAAAATGAGATGAAACATGCTGCACATTAGTTCTAAATTTGTAATTCAAGATAGTCAACCTGACCCCTATAGGGAACGAAGGGTTTTAATGTGTGTAACAATACAGTGGGGGATGGGGATGGGGGATGGGGATGGGGGACAACACTGGAAAAAGACAACACTGAGACCTTACCTTCTCGTAGAAATGGAATATGGTCATCCTCAATGTAGATTTGTTGTAGTTCCACAGACTGGAAATATTTTTTATTTCTTTTGTATTCCTCTAACTGATTTGCTTGATACAATGCATCCTCTGAAGGAGAAAAAATACAAGGAAAAAAAGAGGTTAATCAGTAACACCAGAGACAATACACCAGAGAGAAAACGTTTGGGATACCTACAGGTGCTTTTTCACTGCTAGCTCAAATAGAGATTTTGAATTTAAGTCTGGAGAAATTTTGCTCCAAATGTCAAGGTACAAAAATATAAAGTCAGAAAAAATAGCCATTTATATGAATTCAAAACTGACATACCTTTAGACTTGAGATGTTCAAACAAATGAGATGTTGCTTCAAACATGTTAAAAAATTTGGGGTCTGGAGCACCAAGTAAATCCAGTAGGATTAGCGATTGCTGTAAAGATAATAGATATAGAAATTTATTTTTCTATTTTAAATCTATATTTTTCTATATCTTGTAAGTGCTACGCAGTCCACATATATTCTCATCTTTAAAAATAATAGTACATAAGCTTACATTTATTTTAATTTATGTATCTACATTCATCTTAGATTGTCAAATGTTCTTAAAAAAAGTGAAATCTTAGCTTGTTATGAATTTATTGACAGTAACATATCAGCGAAGTGATTGACAGAAAACCACCCTCCAACAACATTACAGCTGCTCGCAAAGAAATGTAAGGAGTACAAGATAAAGAATTATGATTTAATCATTTTATCCTTCTACTTACTACAGAATCCATAAGTGTTGGTTGCACAGATGGAGCAAAAGGGTTGACAGGTGCCAAGTCATCTGCTGTATTTTTCCAAAACTGTGCAAGGTGTCTTGAGCCGTAAATAGAATCTGTTGGACTCCAATCTTTAAATGCTTCTTCTCCATCAAAGAACACCATCTGTAAAGTTACTTCATTGCTCTGTGTTTGCAAAGAAAACCAAATTATCACAAATTTATTGTTTGGCTTTCTTATTCACATGCATATTCATTATTGTTTTTCATCTTTCTCTTTTTCATAGTTTTTGAGGTGAGTGGAGTCAAAACATTGGGATCAACCCACATAAAAACGTTTTTCTTCGGACCCCAATTCGAACACTCTGTGATTTTGTTCCCTCTCTGACCCCCCTCCCCTCAAGAATTCCCAAGAATTATTGTTACCAGTTCACATACTGCCACACACCAGTACTATACAGTGTAGCTATACTGACATCTTCACCATTTTCTTTTTATGCCTTAAGGTGGTCATGATGATCCCATTTGAAGTCATATGCTAACTGAATAAGGTACACATTTGTATCCCTTAATCAATATTCATGCATCTATTAAATGTATATCTTGCTATATTGCTTACCAATGGTTTGGCCCGAAAAAAGGGTGTGACCGTGCGAGCCACCTCAATAAGCATAGCACATGGAACAGCAGAATCTATAGCTCCAATGAACTGTCGTCCATTGCCATCAGGTTTAAACAACTTTGAGTCATAATGAGCTGACATAACATGCCGTGTTTTGGCCACTGGATTAAGAGTTGCAATAATGTTGCGGAATGTCTTCAGTCCATAGGGCGTGTCTGCTTCAAACTCATCCAGTGTAACAGACCATTTGAGATCTTCAAATTGTTTTGTAATAAACTGAAATAGCAAATATTAAGAATTCATTTAAACTAGGATACAGGAGAGGGGTGAATCAGTCTCAACAAAATGGTATTTGAGACACAATAACTTAAGATTAGAGCAAAACTAATGTTCTAAAGCAAAGAATTGCTCACATAAGAGTGGCCAGCACTATGGCCACTTTTAGCTCACTAAATAAACCCAACCCTAGGCCTAGTATTCACAGAAATACAGGAAATCCCCAAACTTCCTTGCACAGGAAATAGACCTACAGTTTAATTTATTCTGTCTTGATATTTTCCATTATGTTAGTGTTAGAAGAATAGCCCTTTATAGACCACCCAGTACTTGTAGGAAGTTCTGCCACCTTCATTTGTGTGGGAGGGTAGAATGCATATTTTCTAAAACAAAACAGCAAAGATGCAAAACTTTTGGTTCAAATATCTCCAATTTCAACTCAGTTTTCAAGTCCGACAAAAAATCTTTGGGAAAAAAAAATTTTCATAAAAAAAGTTTTTTTTAAAATTAAAAATGAATAAAATAAAATTTAAAATCCTACTGCTCCTTCATTACATCCATAGGCTTTTATACCTCTGACTTGTACATGTATAAAGTTATTTCCTAGTATTAGCATTTAAGTTACCATAGGAATATTATGTACAATATAACTAAGTATTTATAGGTGAATTTTTATCCTCTTGTTGAAGGGAAACAATTTACATAGAAGTATGATTCAATATATTCAAATGGTAGTGATACTTCAATATTAATTTGTGTAACACTGAAATATTGAAGGTGTGGAAGTGAAAAAATACAAGGTAAACATTGGGACTACATACAGCAAACATTAATCAGATGAATACAGTTTTGTGTATAGGATTTATTTGTCAAGTGTCGAAAGATGGTTCCTATTATCTCTGAAATGATAAGAATATCAAAACTAAATGCATTTGAAATAGTAGGAGATAGAGGGTAAATAATAAGAATGAATTGTCCAGAAGATACTTATCAGACAATCAATTCGTACAAAAAAGAGTTAGATAAAAACCCACAATAGTCAGGAAATAATGTAATTGTGTAGGCAGATATTTCTTTGCAACTACCTTTTTCATGTCACAGTCAATCTTATTACATTAAAAATTCATCTAATTACAAACATTACAGATATTTAACCACAGCATTAGGCAATATAAAACCAATATTTTTGATGATTTGAAGTAGGAATATTAAAGTGAAAGAAAAGAGTTTTAACAACATTTCAAAAGATAAAACGTTTACGGCCAACTTGCCATCCTCAAATTTGAAAGTACCAAGCATTAATTTTTTTTGTTTATTTAGCAATCCTTGTTGACTATTATCTTTTCCCAATTAATGTTAATTATATCTTTAACTTTCAAAGCAACTTGCCTTTGAGGAAATTGCCTTAGTCTAAGTATAGTGGTTTTCAATAAAGTCTAGAACCATTCTAACCTTGGGGTATGAACCAATAGGAAAAATTCCCATAGTTTTTATCTTATTTTCCATCCATAGACCACTGTGTTTTATTTGCTCATTAAATATTTATGTAACTATCCCTAAGAAATGAAATGAGGATGGCGGCTTTGACAGTGGCGGGTACATTCATTGTATATGTCAAAAATGTTACTTTGGATAAATTTGTGTTGTCATGTAAAAAAAGAGGGAAAATTAAGAGAATCAAGTATCGACTTACTGCACATAAATACATCAGTATCAGCTGTTTGGAACATAATTACTTTCATTTAAGAAAATCAGTGTTAAAAAAGTTACAGCAATTTACTAGCTTTCTGTCTGTCAATATTGTGTGAAATGAAATTCATCATGAATAAAGCTATGTGACTTCTAAGAGGACTTAATTTGACATAACAAGATCTCTCTCATGTCCTACCCACATCCTGTACTCATTTCAAATTTCTTTCAGTCGAAATCCAGAAAAAAGGTAATGACAGAAAAATCAAACAGAAATTAGATTATCTGCAGAAAATAGCCAACTCATTGGGGATAAACCACAGAAAAGTGATAGGAAGATAAGAAAGAAAAAAGATAGGGCATCTTTCAATTAGGAGAAGATAGACCACAGATAATCTATCTGCAAGAGAACATTATTAGGGCTCTATAGTTAGAATATGTCAAAATCCTGAGTTCATTAAGTTTTTAAAAATCAATATTTCAAAAATTCAGGCTTACAAAAAAATTCTAAATATTAAGTAGAAAACTTTATCCCATAAATAAAGAAAACGCTAAAATAAACAAACTAATTTCCCTAATATATCCCTCGCATTTGATTAAATTGAATGAAATTTAACGCTGGTCTTTTAAATCTTAAAAAATAAATGGGCTTTAATTCAGAGGTGTTAAAAATGAGACTTCGAAAATAATGGGGAATCTGTTCATTTCCAATTCAATTTGCCTAAAAATGCTTAAATCTCTTTCGGATTTGGAACTTCCTAACTAAGCCCTCTATTCACAGACCTTTCAATAATCGTCTTAACATCTGCTCACAAAATCTTGTAAACAATTGCTGATACGCTCACAAGGTCCATATTACCATTTCATACCGACATTTCATCTTTTTCTTTAAAAACTTCATTGTAGTGGCGTCCTTTATTGAATTTTTTTTCGAGTTTTGAGATTTGAACCAAAATTCCAGTTAATTGTCTCGCTATCGAATTTTGAAGCCTTAAAACTTAACACTTGAGTGATAAAATATTTGTCACACCAAGAAATAAAACTAAAAAAAGAGAGAAAAAACAACTTGTATATTTTCATTCAGACGCCGAGCTAAAATTTTGGCGAATATTTTTTAATTACATGTACGATACAAAGTAATCATTATTTCCAGGATTTCTTTTCGAAACACCGCTATTTTTCTATATATATGCGTTTAGCGGTGGAAATGAAAGATTATTTACTCGAGAGAGACATATTTTGTGGATATCAAAGTGTATTTGCGTGAAAAGTTCTCATAATTAAAGAAGATAAGAGTCTATCACCTGGAAACGAAAAAAAATTGATTGTCCCTTGGTATCTAAAACGCCCCATTTTTTGCTTGTAGACTGAATTCGCGAAATAAATTTTATAATTATAGAATAAAAATGTTAAAAGGTATCTATATTTTGTTTGACCAGATAAAATGTATTAAAGGAAATAAATGCTAGCTAAACAAGCGAGTAAATATTGCGCGTCAAATATAAATATATAGGCTTTTCCTCTTAAATGACAACGGTGAAGGATTGAATTCCTTGAAAACGTACATACTCCTTCAATTTTATTAGCATCAATCGATCTGAGCGAGTAATTGGGCAAAGGTCAATCACCGATAGCTTGATAGAAAAACTACCTGTAAATGGAAATTAGAACGAGTTTGGATGTTAAAAGGTTTTAGAACGTTCCTTCGCCCACGAATAAGAACTTTCACGTCTGTAATCCTTCTGTTGAGAGTAAACGACTTGGGTAAAGCCTTGGTTAGACCGCTGTTAAGTCAATTCAGGGGAAATCCGGCAATCTTCAGAAACGTTTGTGGCCGTAATAAAATTATTAACCGGCCGGTCGCCATGTGTGTCATTGAACTCTAAGACATCTGATATTCCTACACATTTATCCGTGAGCGATTTTGATTCCCCGCCATCAGTTTTCATTCTAACTTGATGAACATTAAACGAAGTATTTCCGTTCTCACACACGGGCAAATATTAGGTTTTTTAAGGAATACTGGTAAAATTGATTTTAAAACTTAGTCTAGTTTACCTTACGGACTTCAGTGTGGCCTGGTGTTTGTGGTACACGAACTTTCAATACAGGCCTTAAAATCTTTCCATAGAATTCATCATAGTTAGTAAGGCTGGCCAAAGATGTGATATTCCATTGAGGAAGAGACCTTGGCTTGTTGAAAGTTCTCTGGGGAATTAAAATTATTCAGTTTTAGTGAAGTTAGCCAAAGAAATTAAATTGAGTAAAGAAATGAACTGACTTCGTTCACGTAATCTTACCGTTGTTAGCTTTTGATCGCTGATATAGCATTCTGCAGTGTCGAACACCAAGGCTACAAGATAAAACGCTATCTTATAGCGCATTTTGGTCACTGATGACCCGACTTCAAAGAGACCTAGAGTGCAATAACAGAGTTAAACATCTGTATACTCATCTTGTACTCAGCGATTAGTGATAAAGAATTACATCCAAGGCAGCTCAGCCTCGATTTGATGTCATATATGACCCCCCTAAGGGGTGAAAACACACTCTATTACAGAGACAAATTTCCCAAGAATTCTTTAAATTATACCCCAAAATAGCCCCCAGAATGATAACAAACCCCTTTTCTCTCGGGTTATCAATTAGTCAGCTCTTTAGATAACTTGGTGCTAAGTATTTGCGTCATCGTTTTGAATATTAATATACACACTTAAGAGTTTTTATACTCCTGGGTGTTGTCAAAAACTTCAGAGCATTTCAGATTGAAATACAGGAAATTTCGGCTGTAAAACTAATTGTTCACTATTACAATTGTCTTTTTCAATTTGACGATATAAAAAGAATTGCTTTTCGAGAATAATATTAAAAGGATCATAGTCTACCGGAAGGCGAGAAAATTTTAAAGGACAAAACTTTTCAAGACAATCCTCAGAAATAAAGGCGGAAATTTCTTCAAACGATAATACAACGAATTTAGTCGTCTCTGATCGAAAAAAAATGAGATGAATCCCAGTGATAAAATGATTTTTAAATTAATGAATTATGAGAACCTTGGTTGTCGAACGGATTGACTGAAAAATCTTTGATTTGACGTTGCCGCTCATGTGAAGAAAGCATGCGCAGTGCTGAAATTAGAACTTTTTTTTTGTTGTTTTTTTTTTAATTATTATTATTATTTTATATAGTGAGTGTAAACGGTTCGGTTTGTAGAATAATGGAGGCCCGGGATGGAGGAGAATAAGAGAGTCGACAAATAACACGAGTTAATAAACTAGAAGCAACTAAATCTCAACGCCCCCAAAGAGGGTTCCTCGAATTACATCTAATGTGGTTCCACAGGAAGCCCGAACTATAATAATAACATGTAACAATCATGTTTTGGTGTAATATCTCACAAGCAATCTTAGGGTGTCACTCGAGTTCTAGATAATTACAATGTTTAAACGCAACTACATTAAAAGTGTTCAAAATGAGTTCAGACAAATTTTATCGTGCAAGCATTTTATTCTTATCGGAAATGGTGTAGGTCAAGTGTATAAAATTAGAAACAAGATATCTTAATAAATTGCCAAGCTTTGAGGGTAGTATCAGTTTTGCGATATGGCCTGTGGAGTCTCGCCCTTTTGCTAGAATGATGCTTTTACGTTGAAATACTTGTATCGACAATAGCGCCAAATGACAAGCTGTCCACGCTATATAGTTAACTAGTTATCTTCGCTTAATCGAGTGCCTTATCTGACTATACCATGACGATATCGGAAATGACTCAACGCGTTTACTCCAAAGAATTTCCAAGTCAAATCTAGAAAATAAAATCGACTTATCTCTTGAATTCAGAGATAATCGCTCTAGAGTACTAGTTTAAAAAGTACTAAATTTGGAGATTACCGGAGGTAAACTCTTGTGTTTTTTTTAATGGGATACCTTTGGTATCACAGCACTTTAGTCAAACGTCACCTTTCGTGAGAAAACTTTGTCGTTGCGTGCATGGCTTTTTATCTATCAGGAATAAAAGGGTTTTTTTTAATATTTTCGTTCATTTGTCACAGCAGAGTGCTATCTTTAATACGAAACCATTTAGCGAAGAGCAGCTTAAACTCCCTTTAGTAATTGAATCGCGTCTAATGATAATGGGAATGATGGTATAAAATGTCTGTGGGCGGATTTTGACCTCCCTTACATGTTTTAGGGGACTAATTCATTKAATGAAAAACAGCAAAACGAAGAGATTAACGGGATATCGAATTAACTGGATTTGGTTCCTTAATGCATCGACTGTCTTTGAATTGGCAACTGAAATAGAAAGAGAATATCCCATGCAGTGAACTTTTTATTTTACCGTCTCAGTGAAAGGGAAGTTGAAACGTCCTGCCGAAGATGTGACGAATGGCCACTCGTTTACAACAATGACCTTGATTCCACGTTCACTCAAATCAAGAGACTAAAATAAATAATAACTTCAATGATAACGTATTTGCAGAAAACTTTGAGTTACAACGATTTGATGTTTCTGGGAACCAAGGAAAGCGTAGAGGTAGTGCACTCACATAGGGTCTCACTTCTGGGGTCTGGACATCACATGTGAGTAGAGTTCTTTATTAGTTTTCTCCTTTGATTTGGCCTCTGGTTTTTCTCTGTTTTATCCAGCTTTCCTCGCTCCACAAAACCTTACAAGATAAATCTTAAGAGACAAATACATAGGGCTTGATTTGAATGATTGACAGCTGCACCTGGAGCGTTAAGTGAGCAGTCATTATATTTTAGTGAGAGCAGACTTGTTAAAAATTCTTACGGTAATTATAAAGATAAAACTAAGTGCTTTGGTAAAATGTGCATGTATGTTGTCTGCATGGGGCAAAGTCAAAAGTATTCAAGAAGCAATCATAATACTTATCAGTCATGTTACCCCTAACAACATGAAGAAACCAACGAGCTAATCAATGAAAGCGGTTTTAACGATTGAATGGATGGATGGAATGGGAAAGATGCCGGATGAATTTGAGCGGAAAATGAAAAGGTGCGCTACTAATGCGTCACCTTTCACCAATGCGACTCGGGTTCGAGCTCTACCGCGCTTAGGTGTCGTATGTGAGTAGACTTGTTTGTTGGTTCCATTCTAGCTGTGCTTCAAGGGTTTTTTCTTCGGGTTCTCCGGTTTTTCCTCCCTCCGCAAAAATCGTCTTCTAAATTTTAATTCTATCTATCGGATAGCCTTATAAATTGGGTTGCAAAACGTGTTAGGCCGCACGAGGTCTATACAAAAGTGGTAAATGCACTAGAAAAACTAATGAAAATAGCCTAAAAATATGAAAATACTGACAAAAGTATTAGAATCAAATGCAGGATAGGAAATAGCTAAAATTTGAATTTAAAACTGCCTGTTTTTTGAAATGCCGGAGCGAGCGGGTGGTGCCTAAACCCCTTTAGAATCGGGTACAAAAGATGACTGCATTAAATTGGCTTCCGCACGTCAGCTGTTCTTCATCATCATTGGACAGTGTGTTTCAAAAGGAAACCATTTGTAAAACATGGTATCGAATCTTATCCTTCAGGGGCGCCGGAACCGGGGGGGCTGGGGGGCCTTAATTAGCCCCCCCCCCCCCCCCCCACTTTTTGTGAAATTTTAATACATTTTCAATAAACTCAGCCCCCCCATCTTGCCATACAATGTCACTATTGAGCCCCCCCCCCCCCCCCCCAATCAGAAAACTGCTCTGCCGTCCCTGTCCTTTGGTAAAAGTTTAGGTTAGAATTATGCTAAGATTCCAGCTCTTGAGCCCCAGCTTGTGCTGATAGTCACGCTTTATACGCTCTACCAGCAGCAGGGAAAAAAATTAATTTGCGATCTTTTTTATTTGTTCCTTTATATTATCTACTATTTATTTTTTTAGCGGAAACGAGTAGTTTATGCAAAGAGTAAATAACGTCCACGTATGAGCATTGTCCGAGCTGTGCTAGTCATTTGTTCACTGCTGAAGCCTGTTCGCCTTAAATATAGTTTAAAGCAAAAACTGTCGTGCCGAACACTGGAAAAGGCCTTGAAAAACAAAAAGACAGTTATATGTGTTCCACAAAAATGTCTGTACTTACTTACTTAATCTGTACTTATTTCAAATTAAAAAAAAAAACAGACTTTTTTAAAATCTCGTTATGAAAAATACTGCTTACCGTACGGATGAACTCGATTCTTTGTGGCCAATGAAAATGGATTCGCTCATTCAAAACGCAGTTCGCTTGTAGTATTATATCTATGTTGACTGTACTATTAGTGTTATGTATAGCTTGCAATTCAAGAAATTTCAGATAGGTATCTTACCTCAAAATATGTTGGATCAATCTGATGAGATGTGAAATATTTTGACTCGGTTATTTTTGGCATGACTTTTATCAAGTCGGATTTTCCTCATGATGAACGTGTTTATGACTACCAAATATGTACTGTATTTGTCTTACAAGTGCCCTGCTAGACTTATTTATTTCATTTTCTATCAATAAAATAGATATCTTAGAAAATATTTACAGGAAGTGCAAGAATTTTAATATACAAAACCGGCCGTGATGCAAATAGTTGGAAAACACGTACGCGCTTCGGGCCGGCGGCGCCAGACAAGATTCGATATTGTGTTCGAGAAACGTGTTCGGAGTAAACTCTGAAGTTCGCTTATTACTTATTCGTGCTTCCTGTTTGAAACAGTAAAATAAACTGTTCTTTGGTGTTTATCGTGTATGCTTTTCTTTGAGTAACGAAAGAGAAAATTTCTAGATCTGGGTACAATCCTGTCTATGTCGCTGTGCCGGTGACCAACTGAAATTCGTTTGCTTGTTTGTTTGTTTGTTTTTTTCAATTTAGTGGAACAAATGCCGAAAAAGACGCTAAATTTATGACAACAACATCGACGGAAAAACAACAAAAACAGAAACAGCAACAACAACATTAATAACAACAATAACAGCAGCAAAAACAAAAACAACAACCACAACAGCAGCCATAGTAACAACAACAACAACAACAACAGTAACAACAAACAACTAAAGCCAGATACCAAACTATCTGAAAACAGATGAACATAGATCAGAGCAAAGTCTAAAATAGCTATAGAGATACGGTGATTTCTTTGTCGTGCGTGGCCGTACCAGTATTACAGTGGCCATGATTTTGGTGAATCTAAATAACACACGCACACGCTGGGAAGCCCTTTCAGTGTTATGGCGTACCGGTGCCGGAGTTCTCCATTTTATCGGATAAGAGTCGCCATGCCGCGCGGTGAGCTTGATTCGAAGCGATACTGAAAATTTGTAGTCGTACTACCTTATCTCACTGCGCTGTGGTTGCATGGTTTACTGACTCATGAACAATGGGAAACCATTTCAACGCTACCGCATCTCAAGCGGCTTTCGTCCTGAGTGGGAAGCAGGGCGGGAGAAGGGAGGGAGATCCCTCCTCCCGCCCTGGTGGGAAACGATAAATAAATTCGCACCGTTGCGATAGGTCGAATTACTGGAAGACGATGAGAAACCATTTCAATGTTACGGCATGTCTTACCGTGTACGTGCTGTATAATGCGATATTTCAGTACTGTACTCGCTATGAGTCTAGATCTGATTTTGCCTGGTGACGCAATTCAAGCGTAGGGTAAAGCTAGGAAAAGGAGAAAGGAGAAAGGAGAAAGGAGAAAGGAGAATGTTTCGTTTTTCAACGGACCATAACAATTATTCTAGTATACCTTAAAGAATTTGTCTTTCAATTGATTGTCAAACGACTACGGACATTTCGTATTTTTTCAGTCCTTTTTTCGTCAATAGGATTTTTTTAATAAAGTGCATGTCCGTGATCTATCTATACTGACTAGATTTTCGCAGTTTTATTTACGACTCGATCGTTTGCGATAGGCCTTGGGGTTCTTAAGTATTGTGTTATAAATAGCACGCGAAATAAAATATCTGATCATCAGAAGTCCTATACTTTAGCCTGACACCGCTGTGCAACGTTAACTCAATCACAGGCTCATTTGACCACTCGCTAAAACTCGCAAACACTCCATTTATTTTAAATTGTCATAAGAGATTTCAGTCTAATGTATATTTWAAAAAAATACATTATCGCAAGTATTTTAGTTAAAATTGTTATGTCTTGGTCCGTGGTAAAGAGTCCGTGCTAATCAGTTCTCCATATATCATCTTGAGCGCTTAAGGCATTTATTCTTGTCTAATGAAAGTCACTTATTTGCAATTTCGTTAGCCATAACCACAATATTCCAGAAGATAAAATAAACTGTTCGAGTTCTTAGCCAATATAGTTGATATTTTAACTTGAATATTCTCTAGGTGGCTGGCGTTGGCGGTGAAATATCAGCTGTTGATAGCCAAACGCAGCCTGCTTTCTGTGGATAACTTGGTCAGAGTATTAGACAGCATTAAAGATTGATGAATTGAGTCTGATCTTAGAGTAAAGAGTTAATATAAACAAAGAAACAAGTGTTTCGAAGTGTGCTGTTTTTTCACTACACTTGTCGAGTATTTTTAGCTCAAATATATACGGCAGTAAATACTACATATACTGATAGACCAGTCATTCAAAGTATATTCTCACAGTTTACAAGTGTTTCAATTTTTTGTCGTTGAATGCGCTCTCACTTCATAAGGGAATAATTCTAAAAATAAACAGTAGTAAATAGGTGATTGACATCCCAGCCATTAGTTACTAGCATGCAGACAAAAGTGAGTACCAGTTGCCTGGGGACACGGCCAAAAAACCTCTTTATAAACTTCCTTTTACGTCCAAGTTATTCAACTAAAAGCAATAGTCGTTCAAAATCGTTTTATCAAAAAACGTGTTTGTATTTTATGACATTATGTCCATGTTTTATCCGGATATTTTATATTTTCTGTCTAAGTGCCGTTGTTACCCGTTTTTTATTAACAAACAGTCTTTCCCGGATTTTTCGCATCTGCTATAGCTAGAGCCCCTAAAATATTTCGAAATCTTTAAGTCCTCGCCACAAGACTGCAGTATCAATAATTTGTTATAGAAATAAGAAAACTATTATCTGGTAAACAAAAACCCGCTAATATTCCGTTTCGTAATCAGTCGATACATGGTTTTTCATATCAATCTATATTTGAACAATATCTGCAATGCGGTAGTTACGAGCGAGATGGGATTCGGCGTTCTAGCGCTCTTGCGTTTAAGTCACTTCATCGTGGTGTTAATAAAAGTTAAATAAATCAAAGGGGGAAATCAGCATGTATAAATTAGCGGTCAATCACTTTCTCGACAAGAAAAATTCAAAAAAAATTAGACAGGACTCAGAATTAATATATCATAGCAATAGGAAAACGAAGAACTATTAGTCAACTTAAAAAGGGATAACTACAAAACGCTGTTATTGAGTTTAGGTTATTGACTGTCTGTTTTCCATCCGTCTGGAAGAAGTTAACTTCATCTTTTCCCTTCAATTTATTAAGAATTTTGATCAATAAGTAATTTACTTTTTCAGCTTTAGCTTATGAAAAGAATATAGTTCATCTAAATTTTGAGCGTTTGTCAAGTGAAAGGAAATAAGACTGGTGAATTTTAGTGAAGTTCTAACCCGTGATTCACATTCAAGTTTAATTTTCTCACAGGATACTGAGAGTAAAGTTTACTCTCAGTATCCTGTAAGAAAATTAAACTTGACTTTCAGTTGACAAATATAATCCAGAATAATCAATTAAAAATAAATAATAAAAAAACGAATCTCCTCTGTTTTTAAGTTGAATTTAAAATCATCGAGAAAACTAAGGCTGTACTTACCAAGTCAGTCGTAGGCCAATTTTCTGCTGGTTTTAGGCGGGGGAAATTCGGTTTGCGCGAACTGGTTCAATGACGCTTCGTCTGTTCAAAAGTGTGTGTTTTAAGAGCACGAAGTAGTATCTTTATTCAGTCATTTGTCAAATCTCGCGTCTCGTGTCAGAACTTTTCCCTTGCTTGTCGGGTTTGAACCACTTAAAAATGCCGACGGGAAAGTCATTGCTTTATAAAACAAATTACTCAGCAGTTTGCCTGGCTTGATTTGAATTTTATTAAAAAGCCTTTTCATGGTTTTTCATTGGTGTAGGTCGTTATAGCGGTGCTTCTTGAGCGTCAACGGATGTGAATGAATAATAAGATTTTTTAAGTGGAGTTTCTTTATTTGACTTTCGCTAATACTAGTGACTGGTGATAATGATTATCATTCTTTTGTGTATTCTTAATGAGCCCTCGTTTTTATTTGCGTTCATCTTCTCCTCTGCGTGTCTCTGTGGACATTTAATTACAGTTAATTTCCTTATGGATTTATATGAAGTTGAGCATGTGAGCGTATATAGCGAGATATTATATACTGCTGGCAATCAGAGGGTGGGCGAACTGGGTACGTTTAGTGGAGTAGGGAGTGAGAGAATTAGAGAAGAAGTGAAGAAAAGACTGAGAAGGGACTAAAGAAAGAGTAAAGGAAAGAAAGAAGACGGGAAGAAAGAAAGAAGAAGAAGAAGAAAAAAAGGAAAAAATAAAAAATAAAAAAGGAAAGAAAAGGAGAGAAAAGARAAGAAAGAAAAACAAACAAAGTATGGATACGATCGAAGGTGCGTTCATCAAAAGAGAGAAAGAAAGAACGACCAGAAAATGGAAAAAGGAAAAAGACGAAAATGGAAGAAAAAATATTAACTAGCATGAGAAATATTATGAGCTACCACTAAAATTCGTTTATAACATCGAGACTGTAAGAAAAAATGAATGAAACATCACAAATTCTAGTATACGATGATGAACAATGACAAATTCCTACTAATTGAACAGACGGTATAATATATAAAACCCGTTTTACCTGTAAGCTTAATGTATCATCCTCTGCAAAGCTGATTTAACCAGGGATGAGAAAAATCACAATCTTGCGAATCATTGAACAAATAACATGAATATACAACTTGTTTTATCGCGTCTGTGCGATAAGTGGGCCGAGGTACTTAAACGGAAGACTTCTCTTCTTTCTTTCAGTGTTCATTTTTTCCTTCTTATTTTTCTTCTTTGACCGTAGGGGAAGTGGAAAGATACTAAAAAGGCTGATAAAGAGACTACCAAGCTACGTTCTTGACTACTAGTAAAAGTATGGAATACAGACAAATATATCGCAAATAAGCGGCCAAGTTCCTGTCCTGATTGGAATAGTAATAGTGTACCAAGTCCAAGCCAATATTTTGCTTCGTAAAACACTTTGATATGAACCGCACGCACACAATAACAATATATATATTTTAAATTGTTTTTGAAGTAGCCGGAATGAAGTTCCGTATTTTCCACATGTTTGGAAACATACATTTTCTTCATTCCATTTAGAAGTTTAAGAAAAAAGGTAAGTTTGCCGTTACTACAGATCGAGTCCTTCCCTGGGTGTTTCATGCATATGGCCACTAAACTGTCCCTCATGGGCTCAGTCCAAGGTGTCTTTTCAACTATCGGTTATCAAACCCTTAAGCTCCAGGAAAATCCCAGAAACCTTCAGAATCGTTCCTGTGAATTTTTTGGCGGTCAACTGACGAGTATACTTCCTTCGACCCAGTCTCCCAATTTTCTCTACAGTGCACACGGACAGGCGATTATGCTTTAAAAGCACGATTTCAAATCCGTTTTAATTAGAAATCAGGAATAATTTATGGTTACAAAATTTACCTCAATTTTCTCTATTTTTCGGCTCGCCTTTTATTATTCTATATACTTTTCATAAAGGTTCGTCTGAATAGGGATTAGTTCAGCTTTTTAATAAAAGTCAAGAGTTAATAAAACTGACATGACCATTTTACGCATCAAAAAAAATCCTTTTAAAGCTGATTTAAAAAAATTAAGTTTACTGCATGACATATTCAAAAGATGCCTATTCCACTTGTACTTTATGGCACTTAATAGTTGGAATCCTGAACGGAAAAAAATTGCTTCATTATTCTTGTGCTGAAGAAAACAGTGACATTTGAGAGAGAAGAAGGCTTCCCACGTAGTCTTTTCTCGAATGAGCTACATGACTTTATTTCAGTACTGAAGGTGCGTGCGGGGGCAGGGAACTGGTGGTCAAATTATAAGAGGCCCTCGTRCTAACGTAACAAATGCAGCAAAGAAACTTTTATCATGCAAAACACATATGTGTACGACAGCTGCGCCCTCAAATTCTACATGATTCATTTCTAAATACAGCTCTTGGCATTCGGTCTGTTGGTTGGTTGATCGTCTGGGCGGTCGCTCGACGGACGTATCCCGATCTATCCCACAGCTCAAAAGTAGGGATTAGACCGAGGGAGTCATGGTAACAGAGAAAACTGAATACTGAATACTATTTTTATCTATGATCTACTTTACTGAACCTTTCAAAGTAAGTGATTGTTTTTGTTTTAGTTTGTTGTTTTTTTGCCTTGCCTTGCAGCGTTATAAATAAGTGATGGCGATAACGACAGCAACATGGCGGACGATTAATTCGCCAAATAAACACACTTGCTGTTATCACATTAACAACAACTTAACAAATTGATGGCAAGGTTAAATATGATGAGAGAATATTTTTTGTAAGGCGTATATTAAAAACACAGGAAGCCCGAGTGAGAATTTTTGTTTCAAAAAATGTAGAAGTTTTGCTCTTCAAAGTATAGCAATGTAATGATAAGCGAGGACAAACCATAGGAAGCCCAACTATGACATTCAGAAGCTGTGGGTGACTATATATCCTTGTGATATTACTATATATTTCCTGTTTTTGCTGATAACCTTGTCTTGACAAAAGCCGAAAGAGAGAAAAGACCTATTAGCCGTCTGCAGGTAGTCTGTAGCACCTCACAGAGCTAAGACTCTGAAGCGGATCCTTTCTCACGAAACTCTTCATCTTTTTCGTCCTCTTTATGTTCCTATAACAACAAAACATATATTTAAGAAATCAGTTAAGGTCTTAAAATTCAGGTTTCTTTCCCCAAAATTTTAAGTTTCAAACCTTTAAAAGGATGATTATTTATGCAAATCAATATATTTGATTGGCTCGTTGTCAAGGAGACCTGCTCCGTGTCCCTGGGTATAGTCAGTAAGCCATGTTGTTGAGTATAGAGTAACACCAAAATTTGCGATATTCTTGCAGGAATTATCTATTTATCGACGATTTCTCTCAACGAGAGAGTTAAGCAGAGGTGACGAATGGCGCATAATGGTCGAAATGAGTAATTCTGGGCTACTGGTAGAGAGAAAGCCGACATATTCTGAGGTGAGAAGCGCGAAAGTGTTCGAGATCATGCAAGAAATGTAACAACAGAGGAATGCTGTTGCAATCAGCACTAAAATAGCTTTCCTTGTTGACTTCTGAAAGGCTTCTTTATAATACTTTCATAAAACATACTTGAGAACTCTTATTACTATTTCGCTTTTCCGATTGAATTTACTATCAATCCATTGAATCGAATTTCTAATATACTTCAATTCCGCTCGCTGACTATAACATTTATACAAGTGCGAAAAAACTCCACGAAGTTACTAATAATTATGAGATTTGACAGCGTAAACATATCAAAGATAATTTTTTACCTTTTCTTTTAACTCTCTAAAGGTATTTTAATCTTCCTTGAGGTTATTTTGGCTAAATTACAATTAAGAAACACGAAATCAACTTTGTACATAAGCTTTTGAAATCCTTTTCGATGTTTGCCAAGAGCGAACCTCGTTATTGATCGAGGTGTTGATGTTTGAAGACTTATTACTATATCTATTTTTGTTTTATTTTGAGCTTTATTTAATATACCAAAATTACTACCTATACTTTGCTATTTATCCCTTTGATATGAGCTTGCCGGCTAAATGAAGGTTTAGATTAATTTTGAGCGCTTTTGTCCACCCATTGTTCTATACAACAGCACATGATTACAAACATGTTATTTTCTTGAAGTGTATTTTGTTTCTGGCCTGTGTACTTATATTTTTTTCTCCTCAAAGTCAACTAGTTATATGAAATAAGGTGATGGAGCCTAATCTCGAGTTTTCTGTTTTATATCTGCTTCTTTTCGGGAAATGAATTTCTTTGAAATATGAATTTTTTTAAAGATAAATACGATTCTCTCAACATAATTACCATTTATTATTGGTGGCAATTTGTTACAATTTTAATCGTTCTGTCTTGAAGAAATTAGTTGTCGAATATTATTTAAAAAAATTAATTCAATCATTTATTCATTATCTGTTATATACATGCTTTTATTTAAAGGTTTTAAAGAATTCTGCAAAAAATAAAAACTCGATGACCAAAGATTCCGGCAGGTATCTCAATGGAGATATTTCGTTTTTTGGAAGACAGGAAAGATCGAATTCTGAGGTAAGTTTTTTTGGGTTCTTTTAAGTTCTTTCCTCCATTTAAGCAGAGGTACTATTTTCCCCCATTTATTCTTCAAAGTTGGATATTCAAGGTCTAGGGAGCATCCTTAAAGGTGAGGGGGCTAAGCTTAAAATAAGCATTGATCGAGACTAAAACTAGGAGCAAGGGCTGGAGAAAAAAATGAAATTTAGTGAACGCATTTGTTAAAGGTAATTACACTAATTGTATCCATTTTGTTTAAAGTGTTCCTCAGATTCTCAGCTCGATACACTCTTGGAAGCAGCTGATAAGATTAAAGATGGAAAGCATCAGAACTTTGAAAAGGTAAATCTCACTTAATAATTATTGATATATCCACTTTGCATTCCTTTGCGGGAAATCCTGATCTAAGTCATCACACGGCTAACTCACAGATCAAACCCTGAAAAAACCTCTGGGCTGATCAAAGTCAGGGCATGGCTAACTCACAGATCAAACCCTGATACAACTTCTGGGATGATCTAAGTAAGGGCACAGCTAATTCACAGATCAAACCCTGAAACAACCTCTGGGCTGATCAAAGTCAGGGCATGGCTAACTCACAGATCGAACCCTGAAACAACCTCTGGGCTAAACTAAGGTGCTGAGTCCAATAATCCAACCCAAGACCTCATGTTTCCGCTACGACTTTAAGGCTAAAACTTTAATTAATGTGAGATAATCTTTTTCTAATTGAAGCCCAAGAAGAGAGTGCGCTTTAACATGGACAAGAATGAAAAATTTACCTACAGTTACAGCAACTACAATGAGTCTCTAGATACTGAGAATGGAAAATCTGGCAGTAATGGAATTAGTAACATCAATTTTGTTGGATTTGAGTATATGAATGGAAATGACGAAAGTGACAATGATGATGATGATGATGGTGAAGATGATGATGATGATGATGATGATGATGAAGAGGAGGAAGAAGATACGGATGACAATGAATATGACACAGAAACAAGTGAAGAAGGAAATGAACATGGACTAGGAAAATACGGATTCCTTGTAGACAAGAGTTCTCAAAACGAAAATTTTGAAATAAATAACAATGATGATGTATCAACGACAAGCATTTTGACTGGTAAAACAAACGATTCGATGGAGCTTAATCATCTTAGTAATGATCTGGATCATGACGATGGTATACTGGATCACCATAGCAACACAGTAACTGCAGGCCAGGTATGGAATACTTGATAATTTGTGGGTGAGGACGGAGAGAAGGTGGGGAAGGAAGGGGGTGGGGACGTTGGGAGGGGGAACCCAACAGGGTGATTATTAACCCCTCTCCCCACAAAGGGATTTTTTAAAGACCCCCCCTTTCTACCCCCAATTGCTACCCCCAGAAATTCCACTTTTCTTTCATACAAACTCTGTAATTTTGTTCTTTCTTTGACCCCCCACCCCTCCCCCCTCCGAAATTCCCAATTCCTCTGTGGGTGTGATATGGATAAATTCTGGAACTACACATTTTGTTGAATTCTCTATGCCTTGGTAATTTTAGTTCAATCAGTTAGAAGTGGCTCTCAAAAGTAGAAAAGAAGAGGTTGAGAAAGAAATGTCTGACTTAACAGACCGTCTAAATAGAGTTAGAGAAGATACAATATCTGAGGTATGTGAGACTAAGGTTTCTTGACTTCTCTCGTGTCTCATCATTCTGTTAGACATGATTGATTTCCTTCCATAAATTCTCCTTCCCCACTGCCATGACCTTTAATATACATAGACACAATCTTTAGGGGACAAGGTGAAACTAAAGGTGCAAGGTAAAGTGAAGTACCCCTCCCCTCCCATGGGCTCCTAAGTGACCCACAGAAGTGACTATTTCTATACAGAGAAAATGTTATACTTGAAACAACCAGTACATTCATTACGGAAACAGACCTCTACCTCATGTGTAATATATGTTTTCCTATTTCAGACAAAAATAATCATGAGAAAAATAATATTTGTTTGAGTTGACTATCCATTATTTATGTCTTCTCATGCACAACCATTAAACAAAGAATTTACACTCTAGCGAATGACATGTGGTCTGAAATGGGGAAACATTATGAACAATATTACCAATTTAAAGGGGTCTATTTAGCTTTTAGTATTGTTTAGTACTGTTATTTTTTAATATAGATGGAAAAATTGGAAAGAGAGCTGCTAAAAAGGAGAGAGGACTACAAAACAGAAATAGAGGAAATAAGTAGACACCGGGAAGAGCAAAAGTAAGTAGCAATCTTATAGCACTGGGGAGGGGGGGGGGGGGTGTGGAGAAGGGGATGGAGTATCCAGGGTGTTGTAGTGTGCCTGTGAACTCACTTCATATTGACAGTTTATTTTTGTCATGCATATGTTTTGAGGGTAGGAAGGGAGTGATGTTTTGAGGGGAGGAAGGGAGTGATGTTTTGAGGGGAGGAAGGGAGGGATGTTTTGAGGGGAGGAAGAGAGTGATGTTTTGAGGAATTTAGCGGGGAATGGCCCCTCATGGAAAATCCTGGATGCCAAGAGTCTTAGTTGATGTTCTCACACAAAGTCTTCAATTTATAGGCAAAAGTTTGAGGAAGAGCTTGAAGAATTTCAAAATGAGAAAAAGCTTGAAGAACGAAGACAACGATACTATGAACATGAGGTATGTGGATAGGAGAAGAACCTTGTGGAATTATTGCTGACAATATTACTGGTAACAGACAGGTTTAATGAGGATGTCACAAGTAAGGAACAGGTTAAGCATGAGGCATGCACACAATTAATACACAGGGCAGATCATTCCAGTAATGTTCCATGTTAGTTAAAATGATTTGCCAGGTGACAATGTTGGAAGAGGACCATCGTTGTTTTCATCGTCGTTGTTGTTGATGGTGATGTTGGTTGGTGTCATATTTGTTGTTGTTGGTTAGTGTCGTTATTGTTCTTGGTGGTGATGGTGTTGGTTGGTGTCATCGTTGTTTTTGGTTGGTGTCATCGTTGTTGTTGTTGGTTGGTGTCATCGTTATTGCTGGCGGTGTTGGTTGGTTGGTGTCGTTATTGTTGGTTTGGTGGTGTTGGTAGATGTCATTATTGTCGTTTTTGGTGGTGTTGGTTGGTGTCGTTGTTGATGTTGGTGTTATTGGTTAGTGTCATCGTTGTTGTTAGTAGTGGTGATGTTGGTTGGTATCATCGTTATTGTTTGTGGTGTTGGTTGGTTGGTGTCGTTATTGTTGGTGATGCTGGTGCTGGTAGATGTCACCATTGTCGTTGTTGGTTGGTGTCGTTATTGTTGATATTGTTGATATTGGTGTTATTGGTTGGTTTCATCGTTGTTGGTAAAAGTGTTGTTACTGTCATCGTTGTTGGTTCGCGTTAGTTGTGGCAGCGATGCTTGTTGTATAACCACAGAATTCCTTCTGCAGCGCTTTTTGTTCAGATCTTAATTAAACAACTCTTACTTTGCTTGCAGAGAATAATAACTGAAAAAGAAGAAGAGCTGGATCGACGGAAATCACAAGTCCTAGAGCAGGAACGCGAGGTAATCGAATGGCTTTCACCTCTGATCAAAAACGATATTGTATCAGTTGAACCTATTTTTATCTCGAGTGCGCATTTATCATATATTATATGAGTTGACATTAGGCTAATACTAACATTTCCAGGCGCTGTCTCTTGTAAATAGATCGATAATTCGAACTAAGCCTGTTTCTAGGATCGAGAGTTGATTGTTAACGTCATAACTCATTAAATTTACCACTTGACATATCAGGTTCAGGATTACGAAGAGTACTTGAACAGACGACACAAGGCCTGCAATGGCAAAGAAGAAGATCTTACTGTCTTACAAAATGTAAGTATAGATATTTAAAAAATCTTTCATTCACCCACGATACTTCATGCTATCTTCAAACTGATGGTTTGTGATCATTCTCAAGATAGTCCAATAACAATGGCAGATAACGAGAAGTCTTGTTATTAACCATCAACATGGCCGCTATGATGTGAGGTGCAAACATGTTTGGTCATTTAAGCCTAAGAGCTTTTTTATTTCAAGTAAAGTCCTTCCATAGACCGATCTGTTTGTAATTTGGGGTCATTAGGAATCCTCTCTTGTTTGGCTATTAGGAATCGATATATTGTTGTCCATTCTCATTCTCAATGTTGCCTTTTCTTATTTTAATAGGAACTAGAGATATTAGCACGTGAACTCGAAGCGAAAAAAGAGAGACTACTAAACAAAAGCAGGGTGTATCAACAACAACTTGACGATGTAGAAGAACCTCCTCTTCCGTCTCCTTCGGAGATTCCTGTGAGAATTAGGTAAGAAGGGGGGACGGGTGTTTAAAATGAGGGGATGGGTGTTCAACATTTTTGATGCCAATGTAACAATTCTCTTTGAATTGGGGTCGCTAGACAAGGATTGTTTTTACAGTAAAAACTAAAGGAGAGATTAGATCAGATATAGTTTTAAGTAGCGGGCACTGAGCGACATTGCATGTAAGGACCAGGACCAGGTTGGAAAAAACCTTAGCTGTACCTGTTACTTCCTCAGTAAATGAAGGGTTATTTTTATTAAGATTGTGCGCAACAAATTTAAATCGGTGGTGACACACATTGCAACAAAATCACGCAACATCATTACGTGAAAATCACGCAACATCATCAACTTCTGAAATGCTGCGTGCAATTTTGCTTGTGCCTGCACCTTTTGTTATGCCGTGCCTATAAAATCGCTTTTCATATGATTTTTTTAAGGAGTCCTAGTAGAGTGAGCACCGCGAGCCGAGGTGTCGACTGGAGAATCGAAGAACTCAAGTCTCAAAACAAGCAGCTTTTAGAAGAATTGTTCACGTTAAGGAAGGCTTTGGAGAGTAAAGATGAAGAGATGGATGACATAAGGCAAACGGTAAGAAATCCTGGTCTTGTTTTTCCCCCCTTTCCCTTCCTTCCTTCCTTCCTTCCTTCCTTTCTTCC